AGCGCCGCCCCGGGGGCGCCAGGGCAGGCTCGGCCTCCCCGCGGGCCCCCGGGCGGGCAGCCACGGCCGGCCTCACCGCCTGCCCCCCTCCTGCCCGCCGGCTGCCACCAGCGGAGAGCTGCTGCGCAGCCCAAGCCGTTCCCGCACGCAGCCCAAAGGCCTCGTTTCCCCAGAAACACGGGCAAAAGGGTGTTTCTGCTTTGTACCCAAACTTGTTTGTACCAAGTTGCACACGCTGTGGGGGGAGGAGAAAAAAAAAAGTCATCGGTCACCCCAATAGCATTTTAAAATACCAGACTGGGAAGACGGATTCTGTCCAGGCTTTGGGAAGCCCAGCTCAGCCCCACCATTCCCTTCACCCCATGGGTAGGGGTGGCTAGGCCCCTCGCTCACTCAGAAGGTCTCTGGCCCAGCTCCTGTGCCAGCAGGACAGATGCAGCGGTGCGAACCCTTCTCTCTACTGTGGTTTGAATTCCTCATTTTTAAATTTTGTGTTATCAGGGGGTTTTTTTCTTCTTTTTTTTCTTCCCCTTTAACCAGCCACCTCTTTCCCCTGCCCACAGATAAGCACACTGGGGTCTGTGCCCTTCCCAGCCCTTGAAAGGGACCCGTTTGCAAAACCCCGAAGGGAACGAAGAGCCCTCCACTGTGGTGCCGGCGTGAGCCTGGGGCACAGCTCCACGGCTCTGCAGGCCCTGCGCGAGTACAGATGGGGAGCCTGTGCTGGGCACAGGGAACAGCTGATGTTTCCAGAGAAAGAGCTGTGGCACATGGCCTTGCCGCTTTTTGTTCCCTAGAAGGGGAGTTCCTTGAAAACGTCCTGTCCTCTTCTTATTACAGTAATTGTCCTCGATCTACATGGAGTAACTTTGCTCACATTGACTCCCATTGTCTCCCTTTAGCCAGAAAATAGACAATCCAATGGCTATTGTTGTTCAACCTGGAGATGCGCCAAGATTGGAAAGGGAGATAAGAAAATACGTGTTTGCAGCTGCTGTTTAGACTCTGGGCACATCCTGGACACAGTGTGGGTCCCAGAGAAAATAAAAGCCCTTTCCCACAGTGGGCTTAGCAGCAGTGTCACTGTCCGACCGGGATGCAGGGCAGAGCTGCTGAGCTCTTCCCTGTCAGGCTGGAGGCTGCATTCAGGCCCTGGTCTGGCTCAAGGTCTCCCTTAGTCAATGGATCTGCAGGCGGGAGCTGGGCTACTTCACTGGAGGGTCAAACGCAGTGGATACGTTTCTAGTCCACAGAAACTGATGTGACTTAACCCCACCAGCCCGATGGCCACGTAGGCAACCCTGAACTTGATTTTGAACCCTGAACCGAATTGATCCAGTTACATTCCGTATCACAAAAGAAAAAGTAGGTAGTATAATCTACGGAGTTCACCTGCTGCTGGATATGGGAAGATCCTTCAAAGCCCCTCAGAGTAAACAGCACATTGGAAATGCCTTCCAGCACACTGACAGTGCCAAGGAAATAAAAATTCAGTATTTTTAAAGTGATACCAAAAGAACAAAAAAAGCACCTTTTAGCAGGAAAGTGACAGGAAGCTTCTCGTGTGCCATCTCCATGTCTGAAAAATTAAACCTACTTATATTAAACACAACAACGCAGCTGTGTCCTGGGGGAATGGCAGGGGAAGATTTTGAAGAAGAAACTTCATTTTTGAAGGATTTTAATCTATGACAAAGGCCCTATTTCTGACACCTGATAAGCACGAAGAGGCCCAGAAGTTAAATCAAAAAAAAACCATAGGAAATTTCTTTGCCTTGATAGGAACGCATCAGCTCTGAGGAATTTGGCTTAGATAACACCTGTATGTCAGATAGTTGGCACAGTTCTGACCAAAAAACCCAGACTTTCTTGCCTTACTGATGTGAACAGTCTCACTGTCTTAGGGAATGGGATTAAAAAGTCTACAAAGAACAGCACGGAAGGTGAGTGTCTTTGGGAACCATACATGTTCAGACTGATACACAATACTAGTCCCAAGATGACAGGGATAAGCAGAGCCATGAGGTGAAAGAAAAGTCTCTAGAGTGAGCTATGTAAGTGTGTGATACATAACATGTATTTCATGAGTTTGAATTTAAAAAAAAAAAAAAAAAAAAAAAAAGTTTTATGTCTCTTGGACACATTTTTTTAACCCACCACATGGTTTGAATTTAAAAAAAAAAAAAAAAAAAAAAAAAGTATTTAGCTCATCTGACCAAGCTGCTTAACTACCCACATAGTCGTTAGCTAACCATACAAAAACCACAGGTTAGAGTAAGGCCATTTGGGAGCTTTAAATAAAATGGACCAGGGTTGGATTAATGTAGAGGATAACATTGTACTAGGTCAACTAAAAAAGAAAAATATTACTATTTAGCAAACAATCAAGGTTTTTTGTTTCTCTCTTTGCATAAAATCTAACCATACTTAAGGCAATGTACTTTTAACAATGTATTAGTGATCACTTAAAAAAATGTAAGTAGTAAATAATTCGTTAACACAGTATTAGAATTCACTATGCTGAAGGCATGTTGAATCTGAAATGGCAGTTCAGTCAGCAGCAGTGGATAAAGTATTAGGTCCTCTTAGTCTGGTCTCTGCTTTCAGATGAGTTTCAAAACACATCAGCCCAGGGCAAAAGGCTGTGAAAACATCCTGCACAGGAGGCATGGTATGCAGAATATATGGAAAAGCAGTAACAAGTAGCTGAACTCCACTTTGTAATGTTATGATCCATTAATTGTGCAGAAACGACTGGCACATAAAAGCATTTGTTGCTGTGGCTTCATGCTGACCACTAGCATTCCCCAGAAAGCTGACCACTTCCAAAGCGGCTGCTATGTCCTCAGCAGCAGTGAGCTTCCAAGTTGCCCAAAACAAGGACATCTTCTTATAAGACAGCTTTTTTCTCTGACTCCTCCCAATGGAGCAAAGGCAAGCTGACCCTTGGCTTCATATATTTTGAGGTAACTACTCTGAAAGTAGTCAGCTTTCTATAGGGCATTATTCTATGGAGCTGCTACAGAAACATTAATCACCAAGAATTGTAGCAAAACCAGTCATTACTGCTATCATAAACCTACCTTCCACACGTGGCAAATACACCAGATCGTAGTGATGGGGCTGCGTGGAAGAAAGCTGGTACTGTTCTGTTAATAAGGACACTGGGGAAAATGGAGGGTCTAACATCGTGTCACAAATTGTTGTGTATCTCAAAAGTTAGGTCTTTAAAATAAGTTTTCACTCTCACTAATTCACCAGCTGATCTCTTTTTAAATTGTAAGCTAATTTACTAATACTTCTGTGGGGAGACTAAATTGGCAAACACTGATTGAGTTTCTACTGATTAGCACCAATCTCCAAAGCAGGCAAAACCCCAGAGGAAAAGATTATTTTGTTTAAAAGGCAAACAATTGAAATAGGATGATCTCAACACTGGGAATCAGCAATTTCTAATTCTGTTATCCCTCAACATATGTTGGTTTTGGGGAAATCACAAAGACCGCTGATGAAAATGCATGTGTGCATCTGCTGGACTGAAATTAGGGGTTGCACGTGCAAATTAGGAAGTTGCAAAAGGCTCAGCCAACTATACACCACATTATGCACATGCATCCACAAACACGTGCACAACTGTGGCAAGGATATAGTGTGCATTTTGATATAAGCCAAAATATACCCACGGCTCTGAAAAAATCAATTTAAAAAAGAAAAGGATACAATTTCCCTACCCACGTGTATTTCAGTGCTATTGCGAAGAGTTCTCTGTGTTCCGAATATTTGTTTTTAAATCTTTTACAAAATTAATATGAAGCAGCAAGCTAAGAAAGCCCAAGATCCTACTGCAGTGCTGATAGGAAGCCTAACAGGCTGTTAGGTACTGATGCAATTCTTCCTGAAGTCTCAATCTGCTTCCACCTAGCAGCTGTTTCTGTTGGTAGGAGTCTAACTTCCATAATGTGAACAATAAGGAGAAAGTTGCAGGAACTGTAAATAACAAACAGCCAGTTTCCTGCAATTCCAGCATGCATTTATCAAGTCATGCAAAAATTTACTGGATAAATAGCTATTTATAGGCTGTTGGCCAAGAAGGACCTGAACAAAGCAGCAATTTCAAAGTCAGGAGAAGCAAATAAACTGGGAAGGGCCTGTCTTTTGTCTTGCAGTCATTACGTCTAAATTTCCTCCTAAACAATGTAACACACGAGGATGTGCTGCGTCAGCCAGTGAACTGTACACACCACACCAGGTACAACCACCAAATCAGTGCTCTCATCTGCCTGCAAGACAGTGTTTTGTAAACACAGCTAGTTAAACCTTTTAGCATTCCT